TTCGATGGCTTCCCCACTTATCGATGCAATTCTGGTGGTTAAGCGACGCCACGCCGATTCGCCTCATCCCATTGGCTTGGTGAAGAAAAAGGACAAAAAGGACAGGACGATGACAACGACGATTCTTCGTCTTGCCGCACGAGACGCTTCCCCGAAACGGGGAAATTTGCAAGAAACAGGCTAGAAAATGGCAGTGCACAGAATAGAACCGAGTGGTAACGGTAAGAAATGTACACGACTTCAATGGACCAAAACATTTCTTTGCCTATTATAAATATATCCATACTCTCATTTTCCTTTCCCACTTCGCTTTTTTACTCGTTTTATCTTCATTTTTTCTACTTCATTTTCTCATTATTTTTTAATACATTAATAAAAATATAATCAAAATCACGAGTTTTTCATACTTATCACTGCGGACAAAATACCCCGGGGAATGATCAGGAGGATAGGGGGATACTGCTGCTGCTGATCATCAACTAGTTTCTTCATTCCTTCGCCATCGGCTCACACTTATTTGGTCTTTTTGACAATTTTGCGTCCTTTCAACATGCAAAATTACTACTGCTCAGTCAGCTTTAATTAGATTGTTTTGAAATTAAATTGTGTATGGAAGTGAGGGGCAGAACTCGCGCATCGCTGTTTTTGAATAATTTCGAGCACCATTTCTCTGCTAAGCTGACTGTAGCATGCAAGTAATGCTGAGAAGTTAAATAGAGTGGGCATTGGAGCGAACTATGTATGAATGGATGTAGAAATATAGCTGGATTGGGGGAAAAAACTTTCCGGAATTTTCTTTTTTTTTTAAGAGCGAACACTAAAATCGTTTTCGAGTGAAAAATCTGAAACCCCTCATGCGCTTTTACACTTTATGATCAGATTTTTGCAAAAAAACCAAAGCTGGCTGAATTATTCTGGCCTCTGTAAGTCTGTTTTTCAGTTATACATAACGCGCGTGGAGGGTGATTTCTCGGCCGATGTTTTCTTCCCGTCCGTGGATTACAGTCGTTTCACGAAGAACGATGAGCCGGAGGAGGTGCAGGAAGAGCATGGCATCAAATATCGTTACGAAATTTACACAAATAAATCTGGCTTATAAGCGGTCCTTCATTTGGTAAAACTTCATATAGTAGCACTAAACTACAGCATGCGAACCGGAGACAGCAATGGTCTGCAGTTGTTGAAATCAAAAACGCCCAGCAATGTACTAATGATTAGTTTTCAGAGTACCGATGTGAGAGTTTAGTTGTTGTTGTTACGCACTTTTGAAAGCTTTTTCATGACTACTGCTGCGGCAGAAAATAGAGAAATAGAAGGATTTCACTTGAATGTCATGTGTTTATGAAGACGGTCCTTGTGTTTCATCCCTTAGTTGTATACACAGACCGAACTGTGCGTGCGGTTAGCAGAGGGAATCATCAGTACAGCCTCCACAACGTCCTACTTAAAATCAGCGTGGTTCTGGCACATATTTTTGTGCTTTTTCAATGATTCTTCTCTTTTGAAGTGGTCCTTGCACTGTTTCCTTAGTACTTCGCTTTTCCTGCTTGCATCTCCTCACTTTGCTCCACAACAGCTATTATCACGTAAATTTTTAACCGGAAGACATCCCTTGCACTTCGAGAATTTGTTTTTACGCGAAATCTCGCAGTGGTGTATGCGTCATCATAACTGTGGTAATGGTGAGGTCCAGTTATGGTAGCGGTAAGAAATGTGTACGACTTAGTGGACCGAAACATATCTATTACAAATATTGCCTTAGTTTCCTTTCCCCATCTTACTTCGCTTTTTCTTCCTTATCTTCCCTTCCTCATTTTTTTACTTCATTATTTCCTCTTATATCGTTAATAGGCGCACCAGCAGTGTATGTCTTATTTTGACAAACTTGAAAAGGGCAAGGATCGGACAATGCCTTTTAATACTCAGTTTTCTGAATAGCTGTGTTGTGATGATATACAAATCATCTCTCGGACATATCGTGCCTGTTTTGTTTGCTGTTGTTTGCTAATTTCGTTTCACTGCGAATCATTCACTGCTTTGTGTTAGGAGAAATCGAAAGCAGCCTTGCTTTTGGCAGTCTTCCATTTCAGTTGTTTTTTTTTTCTGAGACGTGTAGGAACTGTTGTCTTTTCCACTTCAACTGTTGTTGTGTTTTGTTGTTTCTCAGCGCTTCACTTTCGAATTTCGCATATTATTTTGCAGTTGAATTAGTCTTTCGGTGTTCAGCATTTGAATTTGCGACATTTTTACAA